TCAGCAGGCATGTCACAGAGGATTAGGGAACAGGGCAACCTGTGAGACTAAGGGAATAAATCTGTAGGAAAACAGGTTTTATGACTGCTGTTACTTACAGAATAACTTGTTTTATTTTTGTCTGTCCTCAAGATTTTTCTGAACAAGCAGCCAAATCCCAGAAAGAAGCTATTGGTTCCTTGTGCTTTGGATCCACCAAATCCTAACTGTTACGTATGTGCAAGTAAGCCAGAAGTGACTGTGAAACTTAACGTACACAAAGTTACTGTGTTAACACTCCAGGATAAGGTAAATCTTGAATATTAGCTGCAGCTTTCATTTTGATTCTAATACTGTGCACTATTAAAGTTAGGGGTTTTTTTCAATATATTTTGACTGAACATCAGCTGTTCATATTTGCTCTACATTTTGCATTTCTTTCAGCTACAAGAAGACCTAGATTAGCCAGTGTGCTTCTTGCTCATTTGTGCTTTTATCTTGTGAAAGAATGTTTGTGGTTTGTAATTTTTTTGGTTGGTTTAAAGCCTGTTCATACCTAACCACAAAAAACTAAATTTGTATTTCAGTTGAACAGTTCAGTAGCCACAACTGATTTGTAATTCTGTGATTTTATGAAGTATTCTAAAAATTTTTTCAGTGTATCTGAACCTGTAGGTTTCAGACAGCAAAAACATAATTATTTTTGTTCATGGAAGTTTAAAAAAAAAAACAAACACACATGTAAGCTTTCAGCAGATGCCTGAAAATGAGCCAGGATAAGGAAATCAACGTAATTCAAGGTTCTTTCTTTTATAAGTGTTTTTAAGTCAGATATTGATTAAATAATCATATTCATCTTTTCAGATAGTGAAAGAAAAATTTGCTATGGTAGCACCAGATGTACAAATAGATGATGGAAAAGGAACCATTCTTATCTCTTCAGAAGAAGGAGAAACAGAAGGTATACATACTGAAGCTTTTTAGATAAGAGTAGATAAAAACTAGGAAGAAATGAAGATACACAGAATGGAAGTGTAGCAAATGTTTTAGTGTTCATCCTGTAGACTACTATTTGAAGAGAAGTGGATTTGCAAGTATTTAAATAGCTCAAGAATAGCTAATGGTATTGTCTACAAGCCTGCGTGTCCAGTTCAGCTTTCCTGTATAACATACTTTTCACCTGGAGCGTCAGGATTCCTTTCAAGAATAGGTGTTCAGCTATAAAAGTACACCAGTTATTTTCCTGTGTTTGCAAGTCCTGTTCATTTTCGTGTTCTTAGATTGTGGTCTTTTTATGATGCTTGTAGGCACTATTACAATACAAACATTATCTGCAAAATGTTCCTAAATGTAATAATAGTGAAGTGCTTGAACATGATGCACAGGGGGTAAATAAGTCAAACATAAGTAGTTTTCTCCCGATAGGCTTAAATATCAGCTTTTACTCTAAATATAGATAATAAATGTTAATCTTATGTTTCTACATAAAAATTCTGGAGTACTTGTTTCATTATATTTATTCAGGTGTAAATAGCTGTATACGCTGCAGTTTTTCACTATTTTTCTAGCAAATAACCACAGGAAATTATCAGACTTCGGAATTCGAAACGGCACTCGACTACAAGCAGATGATTTCCTCCAGGACTATACATTGTTAATCAATGTGCTTCATAGGTAAGGATTCTGAAATAATTGTTTTTGTGTGTGTATGTATGTAGAACAGTTCCACAGGGAATTTCCAACTCAGAATTTTAAATTCATTAAAAAGCTCAGAGGTTAAGCTGCAGAAAGAAAATACAGAAGAAAAAGACTAATTGTTACTTTTTATGAATTTGTAGAGTTTATGTGGTTTTGTTTTGGGTTGGGGTGTTTGTTTTGTTTTGTGGGTTGTGTTTTTTTACAACAGTGACTGGAAAAGGTTTACTTGAATAATTTGTCATTATACAATATGAAAATACAGTGCAAAACCAAATTTTTCTTTTGGGGCAGCCAACAAGTAAGAAACTGTCATTTAAAAAACAAAAAAGACAAAAAAAACACCCCAGCCTGCTGGGGTAGTAGGTCCTCTGCTTGACTACCTGTGTTCAGATACAGCAATGCAAATAGAAGTCACTTTGAAATAATTGGTGTGTGTATTTAACCCTGGATAAGTAATATACATATTAGATACAGTAAACTAACACACTGCGCTTTCAGTGACAATAGGACACTTGAGGAAGAAAGGTAAGCTCAGGTAATGATTTTCCTCATTCCTAAGCATTTTAAGTCATAGTACTGGGTGGAACAGTGTTCACGAATAGAGAAAGCATAAATTATAAAGGAGGACTGAACAGGTTGTCCTCTTTTTTTAATACGTTTTTCCCATTTTGTCATAGTTGCAGGGTGCTCTAATACTTGAATGACATACTTTGTTTGTGAAAAAGACAGTGGGTTTTTTTTCACCTGGTTGTTTAAAAGCGTATGGATTTTTCTGCAGTGAAGACCTAGAAAAAGATGTAGAATTTGAAGTTGTTGGTGATACCCCTGAAAAAGTTGGCCCTAAACCATCAGAACCAGCATCCAAGAACATTACCAATGGTAGTGATGATGGAGCGCAACCCTCAACATCAACAGGTAAATAACAATAGTCAATATTAAATATAATAAAATAGTCTTTCAGTAGTGCAGTCCAGTTAAAATAGTTGTCTTCAGTTTTATGACTTAACTTTGCCAACATGAAATAAAAGGCATTTAAGTTGTCTCTGTGTATAAGTATTATATTAAATAGAAAAATGCACATTTACAATTGTTACAAAACGTGCATTTAAGATTGTTACAAAGCTTTACAAGTAAATACACCTCAAAATTATATTATTTAATTCACAAGGGCTTGGTGGGGTGTCAGCTTAAGTGCATCATTTGCACAGTGATTTAAATGAAGTTAGACCCATTCTGTCTGATGGTCTTGACAAAAAAGAATCAACTAAATCTGTCACTTTACTCCCTACAGAGTAAAAATTACTTTGTGGATGCCTTCGATCATGTTTTATTTTGTTAATTTAAGAAGGTGTCTTTTATTATCTGCTTATAAAATAATTAGTTTTCACCTGTCAAGCAAAGCATGGCAAGAAAATAGCATTTGCTGTCCAGCAAGAAGTACTATCACCTTCCTAATGCAAGGTGTTTCTTTGAACATACTCAAAATAGTTTAACTCAACTGAATACGGGATGCTTAAGCACTGAAAGCTAATGTACTGGAAATGTCATACTGTTTTATAAGGCTAGTGTATGAAACTGAATACTTCTTGTGACATGTAAGTTAGGTATCTGTAGTTCTGTCTTACTTTTGGATGATGTTCCTTTGCCTGTCAGATGGTCCTATTTGAGATACGTGCACAAGTATGTAGTCACTTCCACCTGCCTCTTGTTTCAGGGGAGATTAAATGTTAAGGGTATTGCTACAATTGATTTCAAATTATATAAAAAAAACCCCTTAGCATAAAATTAGTTTTTATAGTGAATTTGTACTTCAAACCAAACAAAATCCACGATTTCTTGAAAATTCACGCTTGGTTCTATTTTTCCCTTCTTTATACTATGTACTGTTATACTTCAGCTCTTTAAGTCTGCTCACCCTTCCACTCCTCCCTCTCTTAGCGTGTTCTCTCTCAGGGAGCATGGCTTCTAGTGGGAGTTCTGTTGAATGCACTAGTGAAGGGAGAGGCTGGACTACAGCTCAGTGTGTGGAAAAGTTTTCTCAAGGACTGCTGCGGATAGTATGCAATTCTTCTATTTTGTACTTGCAAAAAAAATTGTGCTAACTAATGCATTTCCCGTATTTTGGGGTTATTGCAATATTTTCCATACCTCTAGTGAAGAGGGAATAACTATGTGAAAAGCCTATTTTATACTGGTTTCAGAGAAACTCAAAGTACTCTTGCAGTTGAATGACAAAGAATACGGATAAAGAATTGCTCCAAGATGTATTTGTTGTATTAGAGACATTCTTATTTTTATGTGTGGAACTTGGTTTGAGAGTAGACTATTTTTATAGTATCCATTTGAATTAAAAACATATGTTTTGCAGCTCCAGATCAGGACGATCTATTGATCGTTGATTCTGAAGATGAAGGTACTTCAAGCAATGTTGATGATGATATGGAAAACAAAAGCCGCAAGAGAAAACTAGAAGACAAGGAGTGCATCAGTACAAAGAGAGTGCGTACTGAGCAGACAGAAGAGCAAGATGAAATTATAGCATTAGACTGAACGTGCAAATGCCCCTTGACACAACGATTCAGATAATGTAATACAATAACAGCATATTATGTTGGGATGTGAAAAATGTCCAGAACTAGACTAATTTTAAGGCCTTTGTTCCAAGTGAATACCAAACCACTGGCTTAAATAATTTGTGTCTGTTTCTCTTGATAAAGCTCTCATCTCAATAGACTCTTTCAGAGGTTTTTTCCATATTAATTCCATATATTAAATGTAGTAAAAACATAGTTTATAAATACTTACAGATAAGTATTTGCTTAAACAGTCATGGAAAAAGCATGTTATTTTTGTGTTAATAGGACAAAAAAAACCCTACTCTCGTCTAGTAAAGGGTCATCATCTGATGCCCAGATTTTAAGTAACTACATTTTTATTTTTTGCTTGAAGAAAAATATTTTTAGCCTAGTGCTAAACATTTTTCACACCCTGAACAAGTAAAGAAGAAAATTCAATAAAGTCAACTAGTGCCATGTTTTAACAGTGTTCTTAAACTTCAACTGGCACTATGTACATTACTGTAAAACTGTTAATTTACTCAAGTTTTTCAGCTTGTACTGCCTGGTATGTCAATGTAAGAAGCAAATTTTTGTGTATTGTTACAGTTTCAGGTTATTTATATTTGATGTTTTGTAAACTCAGATACTACTACTATACTGTACATCTGATGGACCAAATAAATGACATCTGAAATACTTGCTATATTTGCTTGCACAGTCCAAGTTTATGCTGACTTATGGGATTTTACAATGTATAGCCTTCAAAAATTACTGTATTATTTTCATTTTTCTAAGCATAACCTAGTAGTACAGAACTTAAGCTTCACTTGTTTGAGGTGAAAGGGGAATTTTTTTAATAAAACTTTTGTGAATGTTTTTTTCTTGGACAATCAATTATTGGCCTCTTCAGTTGGCGCATTTGCACCATCACACGCATGCTTTCACCACCTCATGCAGAAAGAAGAAAGCACTGGTCTTTCATACATTACAGTTTGTGCACAGGACAGAAGTGCAATGTTTAGAATCAGTATCTTAAAGCCTACTGCATTCATTTAACTATTTTGGTAGCTTTCAAAACTATCAGTGTTGATTCTTAGAACACATTAATCAGCCATTTCTGTCACTGTACTGAAATTACTTTCTGACTTTGTGTTAATGAACCAAAACTGCTTCTATTCATAGGTAAGTCTGCAGAGTTAACCTTACAGAGCAGAGAAATTGAGCAGACAAGATTTATTCTGTTACAGTTTGAAAACTGACTGAATTTTAAAGATGATGTTAATGTATAGAAGGAGAATGTAAAAAAAAAAAAACAACAAAAAAAAACCAAACCAAAAACCACACCAAACCAAAACCAGCACATTTTTAGATTTTGTTTCCTGGATCTGGTTCTGTCTGGTACAAAGGCCGGCTCTTAATCAGTGTTAAATTGCCAATGCAGTGCAAAACTACAATTCTACGTAGCAATTAATGTTTTATCTCTTCTTTTAGGTAGCAATAGTCATTTGCAATGGCTAGTTTGGAGGCATAATGCTCCACTGTGAAATTAAATCCTTTTGAGTTAGTTGCTTCGTGGCCAGCCTGAGTGAAGACTGAGAGGTAAAGATGTAAGTAAAGAGGTGTTACAGAAAGGATTTTCAATGCTACAATGGGAAGTTTTTGCCATAAACAGTTGAAGCACTAGAATTTAGTATGTCTGATTACATCTTCCAAAAATTAAGGCTGACATTTGCTTTTTAAGCTTTGCTAGAAGTAAAATTACTGGTTTACTAAATTAGTTGTCGAATAGCCTGTTATCCGTGTAATAAGATGTGCTTCTCGCTGTGACATGACAAAGCTTTATCTAAGCTGATGGCATGTGTAATGGATAGTGTGATCCTAGCTCACTCACTACCTGAGAAATGTCCCTGCTTGCACTGGTCGGTATTTAGGAATTTAGCTTTCTAAGGCTTTTTTAATTATTTTAACAGTAGAGGCTATAATTCTGCTAACTTCATTGCATTAGTTTTACTGAAGTTCAGAGTGTTCATGACTTGGAATTGAGCGGTATATAAGCTGAGTCGAAGTAACATGCAACAACAGATTTGGGGGTGAAAAAGAGAAGGGGGGGCTATTCAGTCTCACTGGCTTCTACTCCTTAAGTTATTAGTGTTAACAGCATAAGATGACAGTTCTCAAATGATTTCTTAAAGTATTTGGGATGCTGCTGTCCAAGAAGATACACATAATAGTTTCTGTGGGCAGTAGACAACTCTGTCAGCAAGGCCAGATTGCAAAAATGTTCAGAATTCACCAGGCATTGTATCTTAGATGGGGGCGTAGCACTGTAGGACACTGGTTAGGTTAAGTTTTAGAGAGGCATTAAGTAACTTTAATGATGCGTCCTCATCATTTGGTTTGCAGCATGAAAGGTAGTCTAGAATTTAACTACGTAAGCAATTACATCTCGATGTATTTAGGAGATGTAATTGTGCTGCTTTTGTCTGCGTAGTAAGTAGTTAGATGGCAAAAAATGCTCCTAGATCCTTCCTGTAAAATACCTTAAAGTGAATTATTTTTAATACATTTTCTTTACATAGGCTGCTTCTATAGAACATGTGACAGGCTGTTCATATAGTGTCAGCTGTTCTATTCGGTTCTGGTTAAGTTTGGCAATACTGAATGAACCAGTAAAAATGCAAACTGTGTCTGCGCTAAAAGGAAAACTGCTGTTCAGAACTGGCGGAGTATGAATGTCCTTAATTGGCTACTAGTCACCAACATTGTATTAATGTAGAATTTTCCAACTTAAACTTTCTCTTGCCCTTGAGAGCAAATTATAAATTGAAGCATTTATTAAGCTTTCAGGTAATTAAAAAAAAAAAAAAAAAGAAAGCCACTTTTCAACTGACAATTTGTTCAAGTCCTAATGGCAGTAATACTGATATGGAAGTAAGTGTGGTTGGAAGACACAAGATTTAAATGTTAAAATGGAGGAGAAATTCTTCCCAGTGCCTTAGCTTGGCAACCCTGATGTAGGCTCTGTCATCACTAACAACTTTTGAGCCAGGCTCATTAAATCAATCTACAAATTGCTATTTGCAGTGATACAAATTGGCTCTTCTGTCACACAGCATTCCCTAGTTGTTTGTTTATACTGATGCAAATTTCTGTAATGCAGATAAGCTTTTCTGGCTGCTTTTCATAGTAACAATTCATTCTTGATGCTTGTATTTTTTATTTACTTAGTGAATTTGAAAAGGACAAGAAAAATAGTGGAATATTTTAGTGTAGTTGAATGCAGCTGAGAGTGTATTTAGTATCTGTCTTTATATGCTATTAGTTCAATATCCCTTTTTTGCAGTGGAGCATGCAAAGGAATATTGACCGCCATTGACATACAACAGTTAACTAGAGATTCATTAAGCTGCTCTGACTTATGGTGAAGAAATTTGTAATGACTTTCCCATAATCTTATTGTTTTTAAAAAAAAAAAAAAGGCAGAAGTGCAGCCTATCTGATTCTCAAAGCATCTAGAGAATCGCCCTTAAGGGCAACTGATAACCATTCAGGAGAAAGAACTTTTGGGGCCATGATGACAAACAGCCATGTACCAGCCCATTTCCTAAAGAGCAACTTTAACCTGTAGGTAACTATTTAATGTTTGTAGTAGTTCTATGTGACATTTTAATTTTACTTTACAAAACCATCTCATTGTTGAACCAGAGAGAGAGATGCTTTCCTGGCCTGTTGACGCTGACAGCTGGCAAGCAGATTGATGTGCCATTTCAAGTTCTGACCTTTACAACAAAGACCTCTTGCTAACCATTTATTAGATCCCAGAAGATAAAACAGGCTTGTGTTCAGTTTGTATATACCATTGATACTATCTGCTTCAAGCCTTATCTCTACTGCCCCAAAATTGTAAATTTGCATTAGAAAACTGAATAAACCCTGAATTAAGGAAAATGAATCTGTTTTCCCCATGTTCTGTTTCTGTGCCTACAGGTAGAGACATTTTCTTTCTTCTCTTTGCAGCTATAAGGACAAGAAGCCTTCAGTTTTGTGCATCTAAAATACCCAATGTGCAAGAAAGCAGAAACTAGGATCAAAGTAGTAACAACAAATCTTACACAAGTCAGTCATCTGTTTTTTGCTTGCCTGAGATTATTTCTGGGCTAGTGTCTAAGCAGAATGATTACGGAGAACTTACACCTACAGACAAAGGAATAGGAGAGGGAAGCAATTTAAATGCTTTGATTTGGAGGCCTTGATTCTTCTTTAAGGGGGGAATGGAATGAAGTAAATAAATGTACTCCTAGATATAGCTTGATATCAATTTATATAATGAGAAGAAAATTGCTGTTTAGACACGTCATTATCTGTCTTTCTCATCAGCACACTTCTTCACTCACAAGAAGTGAGAAATTTGCAGTATGATTTCCTAAAGAAAAGATACTCACGGAATTGCTCTGCCGGTCCTCTCCAGCAACATTTGAAGCTAGTTGCAAACATGAAGCAATTACATCAGTGATCTCAAAGCTACTGCAATTCTACAAGTAAGTGGCTATAGATAAGGAGAGACAGACACACAAGTGCTTCTGCGGTAGCACTTAGCCTATTTAGGCGTGGTACTTACACACCTGCCTGCTGGTGGGTCTGTATGCAAGTCCACGTGGGAGTTTGCTGCATTTTGCGCACCTAACCAGTGGCAACTGGTGGTAGCAGGAGTGTGCTGGGGAAAGGAGGGTGGCTAGGATACCTAGCTAGAAGCTTAGGAAGCTGCTAGGAGCTGTGGATATTACAAAGCGGACAGAGAGAAGGCAGTACGCAGGTGGACCTGGGAGAGAATTCAAGATGTAGAGGAGGGGTGCCAGAGACGGAAGAGCACTGACAGGTCTATGGAGGGATGGAGGAGAATACGGTGGGAGGAACCTGGAGGTACTGTATCTGGTGGCTGAGGACTGGGGCAAGTTCTGTAGCAGTGGGAGAGCTCTGTGGGACAAAGCGGGTGACAGGACTGTGGCATTATTGGGGATTTGGAGGCGGTTACAAGCTGGAGAATGCAGAGGATGCAGAATACGGACCTGTAGGAGACCAGCATTCATTAGTTCCATTGCTTATGGAACAGCTCCTTACTTCTTGCAAATTTGTTCATTATTTTCAGTTAACAAGCGTTATCTCTGTAATACCATTTTATACAGAAAATGCCATGAAATGTAAATGTAATTGGTGTTCTCAACAAACCAATGTCCTCTTTCTTCTGAAATGATCCTTCTCATCACAGCTGAAGTGCGTTGTGTTGTCAGGTCAGTGCTCATAGCCCGCCTCATTTCTTGAATGGGTACGAAGAGGCGCACACAGTTAGCCTGGTGCTTCTCACCAGCAGAGAACAGAGGGGCACGTGTATAGCAGTCTGCCCCTCACGCAGTGTTTCTATTTTTTATTAAATGCGCTAATGCTATCTGATTTCTTTGCCAGATGATGGTTTGCAGTATTGTAATCAGGACTTTCTTTTTATCACATCAAGATAAATTTTAGCTCTGTAGAGTCCCAAGTTTGTTTTTATATTTCCAAGCCTCTGAAATAAGAAGCTCTATAACCTAGGACCACCTTAGAAGTACTAAGTGGGTGCACTGCTACCTGAGCCGGCCAACTAAATTATGTATTTATGCAAATGTAGTGGTTGCTATTAAACTGATCGTGTTTGAATATAGAGTGATTATGTCCTGCGATTGCAAGGAAGCATGACTAAGGCCATGTGCGGTCTCCGAAGTATGAGCCAATAAACTACTTTGGCCAGAAGTGTTATTATCTGAAATACGCAAGAGAAGTGGAAGGTGAAACTATGAAAGAAATAAGATACATAAATGGTGTATTAATCATAAGTGCTTGGA